AAAATCGAAGCGGAAGATTTGGCGGACATTGCCGTTAGCAACGAACAAGGAAGGTACTCTATTTATCTTATCACACTTTGTTTAAAAAGAGAACTATTTAATGGTTTAACTTTGATGATGAACCTCTGAACCAGCTGGACCCGTTTAATGCTCCTTGATGATGCAATGAAGATCCTGTACCTATAAACAGTACTTAGTGTACAAAAGCTCTCATAACGTCTCTTCTTTTAAGATTGGACTTTAAGCTTTGATTTGAAGAAGTTAAGGTCCTCAGTTGATTTAATGAATTTTTAAAGGAGTTAAGGTCCATCAATGGAAGTTGATTTAGTGGGAAATTCAATACCAATTATCCGATGCCTTTCATTTGTTTACAATGACTGAAAATCTCATATAGAAGGATGAGCACAACAGTGATATGCGAGCTTATAGTTCAGAAAGACTCAGCATCCTTCTACAATCCTTTTTCCTTAAAATAGACACTTTTTCCCAGAGACCATTTCTCTGTAAAACCGAAAAACAGTGAAGGATTCAAAATAAACAATGACGCAATTACAAAAGCATGCGGCATACCTGATCCCTTGCTAAGACTTCGTCTGGGCAACAATAATCCGCCATCAGTCTAACATTCAGAAGCAGAAGAACAGTGAGTGGTTATTCAAACTCAAATCAAGGAAGTATTCCAAACGTTCGCATCTCCGAACCGGCTTCTTTACATCGATTTTGCGAGGACAAAAGTAATTCATAAAAAAAGAATAATCTTCTCTATGTATTTTATGAAAAACTTTTATCTTTGGGACCATTGAAATTAATTATTCATTCTTAACATCTTGATATTATTTTAGCTTGACCTCTTAACATGTGTTGACGAAGCTGACTATCGCGGCTTTAAGAACTCCATAAAATCTGACAAAAGCATCCGGATGCTTTACCTACAATTTACTCACTTTTGATGTGAGTTACGGGCCGGAAGTCAAGGATAACAAAAGAATCAGAAAGTTTGTCGGTTATATGAATCCCCTCACATCATTTTACCGAAGTCACGTGAGGAGATTGAGTACATGGGCAAATCCTGTTGAAAATCATCAGTCATTCTAGGTGGGAATAGACATGGTACATGATGTACACGATATTGAACAATAAGAGTTGTAAAAGATAGGATCAAGATCGGAAAATGGATAATGCTTGATGCTTCTGTATGACATCGCAAATTTTGATTTGCAACAAACAATTACATCTTACCCGTCATGCACTCACTTCTTTCCAGTCACCCACCCCTTTAATGTCGATTTGATTACAGGAAAAAAATTTTACAAATGAGAGGATCACAAAAAAAGAAGTTCAATGCATACTGAAACTTGCAATTCATACGCAAAGAGATGTGTGCAGCAGAGGTCATTTCAACTAGTTTTCATGAGCAAATTATACTTAATGACTAAGGCTGCAAAAACGGCATTTCGTGCTAGCCAAAGTAGTAAATTGTTCAGTTTGTTTAAACTTTCCCAAAATCGGCTGATTTACATTAGTATTAGGTAAGTCACCACTGAGAGTAAAATAAAATTGGCAAAATTTTAGTTCGATTGGTATAACTGCACAGTCCCATCAAAAGCTGCCGACCGCGGTTAAATGAAAAACATTTCAACGAGAAGTTTACTAGGCATTCAAGGTCAAACTTCTTTAAATCATGATTTACAACATTCATTCTCATAAGAGACAAACTGTATATTAAAATAAAGGAATAAAACACCACAAAAATGCAAGTTGAGGAGAGTCACTTCACAGAAACGTGGTGCTAACGCAATAAAGGAATGTACTTCGTGCATTTTCTCTCCATCATCAAACATTATAGAGTGAGAACTCACTTCTGGAACTGACATACGGAAAGGTTTTGGCATGATCTATAGCCGCTGAATAGAAACATGCCGATATCGTCAACAACTGATGTTTCACAATTTGATAAAATTGACTTCAAAAAGAGATAGCAAGAACAGATTCAACAGTGTAGCAAGCTTTGATTACTCCAAAAACAAACTCATCACAATAATGTAAGCTCGAACAGTTCCTCAATGTTTTGCACCACGCGGCTTTCCTCGCCCTCGAAGGGCAGCACGCTGGCGACCTCTCATACGAGCACTCAATCGCTCTGGTGGAGCTTCACTGCTCGGAGCTGCATGTGCAAGAGACCGCATACCTGCCTGGTAAAGTCCAATTGGACGACGACGACGTACGGCAAAGTTACCCGTTCCGGTTTCATTGCTGAAAGTAAGTACGTTTCAAGGCAACAAAAATTAATAGTCAATGAGACATCGTTCAGAACTACCTGCTAGAGCACTGATCATCTGCTCCATAAACAATAGGGATACGCAGCCTGCCCGCGGGTTGCGCCGAAGATCCGCTGCTGCCTGCTGCCAATGAAGAGGTTGTGGTAGTGTGACGAACTGTTGCGGATGTGCCCCCCGTTGAAGTATTGCCAGTGTCTGTTCTTCCTT